AAACTAGAAAGTCTAGAGGAAGGAAATAAATTGCTAGAGACATACAACCTCTCAAGAATGAAACAGGAAGAAATTGAAATCCTGAACAGTCCAATAATGAGTCACAAAATTGAATCAGTAAAAAAAAAAAAAATCTGCCAAGCTAAGAAAGCCCTGGACCAGATGAATTCACAGCTGAATTCCACCAGTCAAACAAGGAAGAGCTGATACCAATCCAAGTGATCACATTTCAAAAAACTGAGGTGGAGGGATTCCTCCCTAACTCATTCTACAAAGCAAATGGCAGACTGATGCCATAATCTGGCAAAGGTAGAGAAAGAAAGCTACAGGCCTATGCCCTGAAGAACATAGATGCAAAAATCCTTAACAAAATACTAGCAAGCCACATCCAACAGCACATCAAGATTATACACCATGATCGAGTGGGTTTTATCTCTAAGATGCATAATTGGCTCAACATAAGCAAATCAACAAACGTGATCCACCACATAAACAGAACTAAAAGAGACAACCACAGGATCATCTCAACAGACCCAGAGAAGACATTTGAAGGAATCCAACATCCTTTCATGTTAAAAATCTTCAATCATCTGGGTTACAAAGGACCATACCTTAAAATAATAAGATCCATCTGTGACAAACTGACAGCCAACATCATACTAGATGGGTAAAAGTTGAAAGCTTTCCCTTTAAGAACTTAAACGAGTAAAGGAAGTTCATTCTCACAACTCCTATTTAACGTAGCATTGGAAGCCCTAGTCAGAGCAGTCAGGCAAGGGAAGAAATTAACAAGAACAAGCCAAACCTGAAATTAGTAGAAGGGAAAAATAATAAACAACAGATGAAAACAAAATGAAATAAAGACCAAAAAACTACAAAAGATCAATAAAACACGAAGTTGGCTTTTGGAAAAAAATAAAATTGATGAACTACTTGCTAGACTAAGTACGAAAATTTGTTGAATGGGAGAAAACACTTTCAAACGATTTATCCAAGGAGGAACCAATAACCAGAATATACAAGAAACTCAACTCAACAACAAAAATAATCCCATTTAGCAATGGACAAAGAATGGGAATAAGTATTTCTAAAAGAAGACATACAGATGGCCAACAGATATATGAAAAAATGCCCCACAGCACTAATCGCTGGGAAATGCACATCATAACCACCATGAGATATCATCTTATCCCAATTAAATGGATATTATCAAACAGATGAAAAAATAACAGATGCTGGTGAAGATGCTGAGAAAAGGGAATGCTTATGCATTGTCATTAGGAATGTAAATTAATACAGCTATCATGTAAAACAATACTGATATTTCTCAAAACCCTGAAATTAGAATTACCTCATGATTCAGCAATGCTACTACTGGGTATTTACTCAAAGTAAAGGAAATTAGTATATCAAGTGGATACCTGCACCCCCGTGTTTATTGCATCACTATTTACAAAGATATGTGATCAGCCTAAATTTCCATCAACAGATAATGGATTTTAAAATGTGGTATAAATACACAATAGAACACTTTTCAGCATTAAAAAAGAATGAAATTCTATCATTTGCAGCAACAGGGATGGAATCAGAGGTCATTATGTTAAGGGAAATAACCCAGGCACAGAAAATCAAATCAAATATCAGGTGTTGTCATTCATGTGGGAGCTACAGAGTTGATCTCAGGAAGGTAGAATAGAAGGACAGTTACCAGAGGATGGGAATTTTTGGGAGGAGAGGGGAAGAGGGAGAGGAGTGGTGGGATGAAGAGAATCTGGTTGATGGGTATAATCATACAGTTAGCTAGAAGGAGTAGCTCTAATGTTGTATAGAAGAGTAAGGTGATTTCTGTTAACAACAATGTATTGACTATTTCAAAATAGCTAGAAGAGAGGTCTTGAGGTGTTCTCAACACATAGAAATGATACTTGGTCAAAGTTAGGAATACCCTTAAAATTCTGACATGATTACACATTCAACATGTGTAACAAAATATGACATGTATCCATAACATGACCAAGTAATATGTATCCATTTAAAAATAAAAGTAGAATCAATACATGATCTAGTAATTCGGCTTATGGTATGTGGCCAAGAGGATTGAAAGCAGGATCAGGAAAAGATGATTTGCATGCCCATGCTTACCACAGCATTATTCACAATAACCAAAAGGTGAAGACAATCCAAATATCCATCAGTGGCTGCATGGATAGGGAAAATGTGATGCGAAGACATAATGGGAGTCATTCACCCTTTAAATGAAGGAAAACCTGTCACACATGACAACATGGGTGAAACTTGAGTATTTACATTAAGTGACAAAAGGCAGCCAAAAGATGATAGACACTGTGTGATTCCACTTCTGTGAGGTATCTAGAATTGTCAAATTCATAAAAATATAAGGTAGAATGGTGACTGCCAGGGACTAGGGGGACAGAAGGGGAAATGAGGAGCTGTTCAATGGGTACAGAGTTTCAGTTTTGTAGAACTGTAAGTTCTGGGATGTGTTACCCAATGTACACTTAACAATGGTTAAGATGGTTAACTTGTGTTACACTTTTCTTCTTACCATGATAGATAGGTAAATGGATAGATGATATATGATTGATTGATAGATAGAAAGATAGATAGGTAGATAGGTAGATAGATAGTAGATTAGATAGTTGAATAATAGAATAGGTAGAGAGATGGTAGATAGAGTTAGAGATAGATGATAGAATAAGTAGGTAGATGATAGAGATAAAGACAGATAATAGAGACAGAATGATAGGTTAATAGATTAGACATGGATGACAGAGAGAGAATAAGTAGGTAGATGATAGAGATAAAGACAGATAGATGATAGAGATAGAATGATAGATTATGGATAAATAGATGATAGAGAGATAGAATAGGTGGATAGATGATAGATATAATAGATAATGAATAGCTAGATAGAGATTGATTGATAGGTTGATAGATATAGAATAAATAGATGATAAGTAAATAGAGATGATAGAGAGAATAGGTATATAGATGATAGATAGAGACAGACAGATAAACAGATAAATGATAAAAATAAATAGATCGGTAAATAGGTAAGTAGATATAGACAAGTAGGTAGGTAGGTAGACAGATAGACAACAAAAATAAACCCACAGGCGACTCCTCAGCACTTCCTATTTTCTGAACTCTGCATTTTCCCCAAATTATGTGTCTGTGTTTATACTGTATTTGTTTATTTATTGTCTGGTTGGTTCTTTTATCCATTAGTTTGGACACAGCCCACATCTAGAATAAAACCTCATGGAGCCCTAGATTTCTACTGTTTCCACCGGTCCCTGACATCTACAGTGCTCATCTCTTGCAAGGTGCTCACACTTTTCCTGAATGAATTAATGAATGAAAGGACAGATGTTACTCAGCTGCTTAAAAACCTTCCGCAGACTTCCAGGCACACTCAGAAACCAGTTGATAAATGGAGTATCCTGGAGCACAAAGCATAAACAAGAATGGTGGTGGAGAAGTGGAGCGGGAAGAGCATTTGAGGAGGGAGGAACAGCCCATGCAGGGAGCCAGACGCACACTCAACCTTGCTCTGGTGGTGACAGTGAAGGGTGCAATATGGACAGGGCACAGAGGAAGTGGCAGGAAGGGCAGAGATTGGGGTAAGGCATGTGAGAACCTCATTAGAGAGCACAAAGTTAACAGAGTGCATGAAATCTCAGTAATTGCTATGAATAATGTATTCATGCAGGTATCTTTAAAATCAAAATTCATGAAAAAAATCCACAGGGAACCAAAAATTTTAAAACCCAGATTAGTGAGAATGTTCTACTGAGCCAAATAGAGTCAGAGGCAAAAAAAAAAAAAAAAAGTATTTCCCTATTTATATGTTTTTATGTATTTTAATGATAAGTTTTTCCAGAACATTAAAATAATTGAAATACTACTGATGAATTGAAAAATAATATGTATTAAAACATTTAAAGTTTAGAAATTCTAGGTATACTCAAAGCAAATTTATTTTCATCTGTCTTCCTGACTCTATGGCAAGCAAAGCAGAGATCATACTTTCAAAATGTCCTTTTTTAATTTCTCTTATTTTCAACTGCTTGACAGAATGCCACCCTGCTTGACAATTTCTCTTGATTAAGTGATGATCTTGGATGATTCCTAACATCATATTACTGATACTGCCATTATTTACAATTTTGATATTTTGCACATCAACTTTTCCATTAATTTTAGTCATTAAAAATATCGTGCATTAAAACATTGTCTCATATACTGAGATTTTGGACACCCCCTCACATTTTGCACCTGAGGCAAGAATCTCACTTACCTCACCCTGATTCCCACTCCACTGGAGAGGCAGGCGCTTAAGACACCAGAATGTGCAGGGCCACGGGCTGAGGAGTTTGGGATTTTCACTCTAGGTCAGAGGTTATCAAGCTACAGCCCTTGGGTCAAGTCCCGCCCACTGCTGATTTTGCAAATAAAGTTTTATTGGAACACAGCCCAAAGCCTCATTTCCACAGGATCCAGGACTGCCTTCCTGCTATAACAGCAGAGCTGACAAGGACCGCACAGCCCAGAAAGCTGATGCTTTTACTCTCTGGCTTTACAGAAAAGGGTTTCCATCTTCTGACCTGGACAGTGTGGAGTGGGAAACAGTCATCCAGATGTAGAGGAACTGGACAGTGATGGCTTCTGGAGGGTCTCTCCAGGTGGGGATGGGGAGGCAAGAGGCAGGGAAGTGAGGGGTCCAAGGGTGAGATCCCAAGGCTTCGGTGATGAAGGGATTGGGAGGAGAGAAAGGAGGTGACTCCTACACCTTGACCTGCAGTGGGTGGCGGGCATCGTCCTGCTGTCAGGCAGGATGGGGAATCCTGGAGAGAAGGCGGCTTGTGGAGAGAAGGAGGAGAGACACTTTGGTCATGTCCAGTTGAGCAATCCTGGGGTCCATCGTGTTGGAGGAGTCCAAGCTGGAGGCTGAATATGGACATGCCCACATCACTCACCTGAGAGCAGGAGTCTCTGACAACCACTGCATCCTCCATGCTCGCATCCGCATCACCTGCTACTGGCCTTGCCAACTTCCTCCTGAGTGACCTCAGTCTGAGTGAGAGACCAGAGAGCCTTTCAGTATGGCCGGATCGGGGTGCAGTGGGCAGACCGGTGTGCCCACCTGTGTTTTCTATTAATGGGCTAGATGGTGAAGAGGTGGGAGAGGGGTGTTCCTGTCCTGGAAACTCCAGGGTTGAGAACACAGGATCTCCCTCCTGGACTTGGGACCCAAGATTTACACAGATGTGGGCCCCACATCCAGGAGCGCTTGGGACATTCTCACCACCCCCATGACCTCCTTCCTGCCCTTGTTTCAAGCTCTTGGCCCATCTAGGTCCCTCCAGCTCTTGCCCCAGGGACTCTGCTCCTGGTCTACCCTCCTCTGGGACCCTCTTCCTTCCCAAAGGTCCATGCTCACGCGATGAAGATGGCACAAAAGGACAGGAAGACCAGGGGGGTGGCTCCAGCTCCCGCGAGCACCCCCAGCATCACTCCTGACACAGGCAACACTCCCCCTGTGGGAGGATGGGAGCTATTGGAGGGACTCACCCCAGAAACTGGTCTCTTCTGTCCTGCTCCCTGGGGAGGCCCTGGACTTCTGTTCCCCTCCCCCTTCCCAGACACAGAGAACAGGGCAGGATGGAGGATGGGACAGGGTGAGGACAGTGAGGCGTGAGAGCTGGGGGGTCCTTTCTTCACTTGCAGTTTTGGCATTGTGTTCACCATGGAGTGACTTTGCAATGTTATTTCATAAAAGATCCTTGAATCACAATATTATTTCACTCATTCCCTGAGTTGTTTTATGTTTGGCTTTTAAAGTTTGGTGCCCAAGGCGAGCGGCTCACATGTCTCACCCTCAAGGTCCTACAAAGCAGGGACCTTGTCTCCCTAACACACTTGTCCAGGTCCCTGCCCTTCCTCTCCAAGACCCCCCTTCTCCCCTCACCCACCCCACATCACTTGACAAGCAGGAAGAGGACAGGGGTGCTCTGAGTTCAGGAAATGTCCAGGCCTCACAGCTGAGCACAGACTGTACCTGAGCTCCCTCTGAAGCCCGTGGGCTGCTGGGTGGATGGTGAGGGGAGCGGGTGTGTTCTCCCCCCAGCCCCTCCCCTGACACCTCTGCACTCACTCTGTAGGGAGAGGCTCAGGGAGACGTGCTGGGAGCCCAGAGGGTTCTGAGCCCAGCAGGTGAATTCTCCTTCATCTCCAAGGTGCACTCGGGGAAGCTCCAGCACCCCAGGGCTCAAGGGCTGTGAGGGGCTCAGGGTCTGGCTCCTCCAAGTTCAGCTCAGGGGGATTGCTGTTGACAGCACAGACCAGGTGCAGAGACTCGTCCTCTGAGACTGAGAGAGAGATGAGCCATTTCTCAGGGTTGTGGCTGCTGTCGAGAAAGAGACAAAGGGTTAGAGAGAAGAGAGAGCTGAAGAAAGAGGAAGGACACAGAAAGAGACTGGTGAGGGGAACTGACACACAGACAGAGACTGAAGTTCAGGAAACACACATTGTCACCTCTCACTGCTGGGAACTTCAACCTGCCCACCTTTCAAAAGAACAGTTTGGTTACATCACTCAGAATGAGAAAGCACATATGACACAGCTGTATTTTGCCTTTAAAAATTAATCTCACTGGCTTAGATATTCTAAGGGAAAGGAGATATGAAATTATTCATGACAGCATTTCTGCAGTGGGATAAAATTAGTGTCATGGAGTGAGGACACAGCCTTGGGGCTGCCCCTCAGGGGTGTCAGGGTTTCAAGAGAGAAGAAACATGCCCCTGAATTCAGCAG